AAAAAGCTAAGATTGTTTTTGTGCTTGTTAACAATGTTTGAGTAGTCAAAATTTAAAGATATCAATCATCTTATGGACATGCTATTTGTAACAGGAAAATCCAGACAATAATCTTCACCAATATGCTTTCTTTAATGTGGCATGTAAGCTATGGTTAAGTAAATCAGAAAGACTAAACTGCACATCAGTCTCGAAGGAGCAGATCTGATCAGTTTGCATTGGAGTTCACAAATATCAAATTCTTCAAGTATCCCCAGTTCAAACTAATCCAATATTATCAAGTCCTTGTGGTGAAATAGATGACCAGACTTATTTTTGTAGTCTTCCATACTTCCTTTTGTACAGCATCATCCAGGAAAAACCATTCACCATTTAATAAGATAAGGAAGCATCATGGGAAGAACAGACGATGACATGAGATGTATTTACTAGTTTTCTTCAAGAAAGATACAAAAGGAGACTTGTCCTAATAATGAAGGTCAGCAAATATGTGAGCTTTCCAATGCTTCCTTGCTTCTGCTGAGAGCACTGGGAATAGCACATATCTAATAGAAAATGCATCTCATAACTTATTAAAAGATTCTGGACCCTACTGAGATGTTGTATCCTTGATGCTTGGCATAACAGCATATTGACAAGGAGTATTTTTTGACTCACAGTGGAAAAGACTCAACCAATTATTTTTTAGGTTAAATGGGATGCAGTGACATGTGGTACATTCCACCTTACTGACAGAGAGTTACATCATAGCAATAGTACAAACATGGGATTTGGTTCTTCCTTTGTGTACCTTACTCTCAGAAGCTAAGTACTGCGGATGAAAAAGATTGCACCAATCAGCTATGAACGATCCATGTCTTGATGTTTCCCCAGGTATCTGTGATTTTTGCAGGGCCCTGGAGAGGATACCTATAAACTCTGGCACGACCTTTTCTGAGAGCAAGCAGAAATAATAGCACACATTACAAGCCCCTGAAGGATCAAAGGGTTTTGTGGTCGGAGAAAGCAAGACAGTCCTGCGTACTTTTATTTTAAGAGTTAATTTGAATACGTCCAGAAAAAGAAGAAGAAGAAGAAGAAGCAACACATGTTTACAATAGAGGCATTAAGAAACAAGTGATTATTCAGCATGATTCTGCCAGTTTTCTAAATGTGGAGGCAAACAGAAATCGGAGATGTTCTTGAAGGGGAAACATAAAAATTCCAAGCTGAATCAGTTGTAATGCTCTTCAATTCATGCAACAAGAGCAGAAATGAGCGGACAAACTTATTAATAAACTACTGAAGGGAGTAGGCAGCCTTGCAAAGTGGAATGAGATTGTGTGCAAGGACTGTGGTTGTCAGGTGTCTCATTGTGACAGTGCTGACCTGGACTCGCATTGCTACACAAAATCCATGAAAGGGTTTGTGTAATAACATACACCAAAGTTATAGGTTGTAATTATACAACATATAAAGATTGGACTTTATGAGATAAAAGGATGTCATAATTTAGTTATGAAATGCTGAAAAGGATGTCATCATTTGGTCTAAAATGCAAAAACATTCTAAAGTTAATGAGAGTCTAAGATGAATTTCAGTGCAAGGTTTAAGGTCTCTCAATTTGTTTATTAAATTATTGCAGTGTGCTTGATTGTGGCAAGGTAATAGAAACCTTCTGAAAGTAATAGAAACCTTCACATGAATTAAATGTGCACAGAGATCGCATGACTCCCTAATGTAGGGTTTGTTTTGGGGTTTTTTGACACCACATTGACCAAGACCCCTATGTCCAGGGAGATCACTCACTGTGCTCCTAGCTAGTTAGAAATGCTCAGCAAGAAAAGCACAATGACAGATTCCTAAAACATATTGATGCTGCTATCCTGGAGGTATGTACAGCTGGTGCTCTGCATAAAGAAACTTATTCTGCATGACGTTTGCTTTGGTATGCGTAAGAGCAGGGGTCAGCAAACTTTTTCAGCAGGGGGCTGGTCCCTCAAACCTTGTGGGGGGCTGGACTATATTGGGGGGGGAATGAACAAATTCCTATGCCCCACAAATAACCCAGAGATGCATTTTAAATAAAAGCACACATTCTACTCATGTAAAAACACGCTGATTCCCGGACCGTCTGCAGGCCGGATTGAGAAGGCCTTAGTTTGCCTACCCATGGTTAAGAGTGTCCAGGCTCAATGTTTGCATTCAGTAAAGTAGAGCTGCATGAGCAATTGCATGAAGAGAATGGTCACGTTTCCATATGAGCAAAGGCAATTTGTTGGAGTATTCTTATTCAGGGTTCCAGCCACCCGTGCCCTCTTCCAGGACACAATTTCTCTCCCTTTCCTTCCAGTTTTCCTTTGTCCCCCATCTCCTTCCATCAGTCAGCATACCATACCCACTGTTCAGCCTTCAGTGGGCTGTTTTGGTGTAGCCCATTTAACCTTGCTTCCCCCCTAAAAAAAAGATATTTTTTTTTTTTGTTTCTGCAAATCTTAGAATTCCCCCAAGCCTGCTAAGAATTCCCTGTTGTGGATACATGGCTATAGGGACAGGCACTTGGAGAACTGAGTTTGCTATTATTACATATGATTCCACATCTACCCCACTCTTCCTTTGCACAGCTCAGAGCTGAACACGTATATTTCCCAGTGGTCTCTCATCCAGGAAGCTTGAAGTTCTAGACTGGTTCAACATCAGCAGCAGGCCCTCATCATGTGTCTTCAGATCATCCTCTAGGTTATTATGTGAGTGGATTAGGACTGTTACCAGATCAAAACTGAGAAGATTAGTTTTATTAAGCTTATATTCTAAAAGGAGCAAACGCAAAAGAGAGCTCACTGAAATTGCCATTCTTTTGCAGAGGGTGAGTGTAAATCAAATCTTGAGCATTAAAAGTCTCCAGCTCCAGTGATGTAGCTGCAGTAGAATGCTCTTCTCTCACACACATAGTCCTAAATGAACACCTGCCGTGTCTGTTGCCAAAGTGATGTCAGCCATTTCAGAGTGAGCTAGATGAAGTGCACAAGAAAAAGTCTCTTTAAGGGAAATATTGGCACTCTCTATCTATTCATATTTAGAATAGAGTAAGAATGTAGAATGTTTGAAAGAAGGTGAGAGAGTCAGATAGCATCTCAGAAGGTTCATACATTAAACTGATACAAGCCTGGAAAACATGAAGGATAACCTACTGATGAACCCAGGGATCAGCTTCTAGGGATAAGGCAGGATCTATCAGCCTCTAAGGCTGTGTTTCTCAACCTTGAGTCCCCAGATGTTGTTGGACTACAACTGCCATCATCCCTGAGCTCTAGCCTTGCTAGCTAGGGATGATGGGAGTTGTAGGCCAAAAACATCTGGGGACCCAAGGTTGAGAAAGGCTGCTCTAAGGCATGGGTAGGAACCTGTGGCCTTCCATATGTTGTTGGACTCCAATTCCCATTATCACCAGCCAGTATGGCCCATGGTCAGGGCTGATAGGAGCAGCAGTCCAGGAACACCAGGAGTGTCACAGGTTATCCACCTCTGCTCAAAGGGGTTGCATGCTGTTCCCAGGGCTGGACGGAATAGCGTCTGATTCCTTTCTTCCCTTCACTCCTTCCAGGGAAAGCATAGCAAGCCGTTATAGCTGACTACTCATTAGCCACTTGTCTGCATTATGTATCTTGGAGTGAGGGTGGGGGCACTATTCCTTCTGACATTCACTCTCTTTAAAATAAACATGAGGCTACAAGAATTAGGGAAAATTCCAGGGGAAGTGGCCTGAGCTGTCACCAGTGTGCTGATGATGCATTTCTCGGCTCTACATGTTTTTCTTTGGCTTCTTATCTATCAGTGGTGACAAATTGCAGAGGGATGACTGTGTTACTCTGTTACATCAAGCACACACACACAAAGAGGATTGTGACACTTTAGAGATTAATAGATTACTTGTGCCAAAAGATTTTCATGGTATAAAGCCTGCATCATTAGGTACATGACTTGTTATGCCCCATTGGTATGTGAGAGTATGTACACAGATATAGAGAAAAAACTGTTTGCATTTCATGGCTTTTGGGCTCAAGTTTCCCATTTTCTTTCTCTCTGTACATATATGCCAAACAAGTTCAGCTAATACTCTGTGCAACTGAGATAGTAAGCTTATGTCTCCAGATAAGATTACTGAACACAAAAAAATTATGAAATGTGCAACATGCGGCATATCTAGTATACAGGAGGTTCCGAACTAAAGAGAGACAAGATACAACATTTACATTTATTTCTACTGTGACATTGTTGTGGTCACCTTGCCGATGATCTCTCAGCCTCCCATCATCATGTTTTGATAGAGCCAGTTCAATGAAAATAAAGTATCTCCTCTCATATGCTGCAACTGTGCTCACAATCTGCTTAAACCTCACTGGCCTCAGTGGGATTAAATGTGTAATTCTACACACATTTTCTCAAAAGTGAGTCCCACTGTGTTCAACAGAGCTAACTCCCAGTTGAGTGTGCAAAGGGCTGCAGCCTAATTACACAGAATGGCAACCACGGTATCGTCAGGCTTCAGTTTATGCTCATTCGTAGGGGGAGCCACAACTGCAGGGATGTACAGACTGATCTAGTACCTCCTTACTCGCCAACGCATCATAATTGTCATTGGGTATGTTAACTTTACATGTAAAATGCAAAGGGGTAACTGACACAATAACACCACGTGATCACTGGACTGGCAACTTTTACTGGAGATACGTCAGGTGATTCCATCTCTGCGTAGGTTCTGTTGTACAGGAAGGCTACGAACTACAGATTACAGTATAAAATAAAACCTATGGAAGTTTCAGGCAAACTAAAGAAGCATCTCATTACAATATTAACCATGCATGCTCATGTGCTATTCAGTAAACAGCTTTCTCACATGAACCTCTGAGATGAGAAATGGCTAGCAAACTCTACTTCTTGAAACTCTACTAGCCCTTAGAAGAACATCTCTACCCCTTTGCCTCCCAGTCCTAGCCTGAGAGTTTCCAAACATATCCTACCCTGTCCCACGTCCTCGTCTTGGTCAAAAGGATGATAACCAATTTTGGGTGCATCTGGTAGCCGTCCTCACTGAAAGACAAATTCCTCCCTTCAAACGTGACATTAATCAGGTACCTAGAGAAGAAAGAGAGAGAAAAGAAGATAACAAAATTAGAGTGCATGGCAAGAATACCAGGAATCTCTCTCTCAGTAGGATGTACAATTTGAAGTGTAAAAAAACCACTGAGAACACTTATGGCTGGCCTGGAGCAGCTGGGAACAAATCAGAAAGGAGAAAGAAAGAAGAGACAGAAGGAAAGAGAAACAAAAGGAATCCATAGATATACAAAGATTTCCAAAGAAAGCAGGCCACACAGTCTCACCTGTTTCATGAAATGGGCCCTGCTGATGTGATTATGATTTTTTCCCTAGCTAAATTTCTATTGAAAATGTCATCATTATTTTATTTCATTTTCTAAATAAATGAAATAGATATTATTATGCAAAGAAATTATCACATAGCCATGTGTGTATAAATATGTGAACATGTATACAATTACTCTGCATAATAACAACACTTAAATAATAATTTTTTTTAACAATTCAATAAAATGCTAATTGGAAGAAAGCCATTAATTTAATTGCTTGCCTTGAGCCGAGCTGAGTTGAGTTGAGGTGGAGGGGAGGGGATTGCTCAGAGAGAAGACACAGCCCATTGAGTTTTTCACTATATGCACCTGTGGTATTCTTTATACTTTGGGTTTCAATCAACTAAGTCCTACTCAGAGAAGTTCCATTGACATTAATAAACCTAAGTTAGTATTATACATTCAGTGGGACTACTCTGAGTAGGACTAGCATTGACTATCACCCACTATACTTACCTATTAAAACAAATTAAGTAAGCATGTAATATTTGTATTAAGTATGTACTTTTTATTTTGCCAAAACTCAATAAACAGTTTTTACTCCAACAAAGATCTATTTTTACTCTTTCTTCACTTACTCTAATATAATTGGTTAACCAGCTGTGTAATCCAACCTAGAATCCATTGCATCATGTGACAGCATTAGGCCCAGTGTGGGTCCTGTTGCACCAGCAGCCAAGGTTAAGATTGCACCAACAGACATGACTGGGCAGTTATACGTTTTATGTTCCCATTCCTCCTCAGAAGGAAATGATGTTAATCACTGTTTTATGGCATATCATATTCTTGCTGCTGCTATTGTGTACAAAAGCTTTTAACAATGCTACAAAGTTAAATTCCTTTTGCAGCTTAATAAAGATAATAACAGAGCCATCTCTAATTTGGCATGTTATTAATTCTATCATATTTCTTATTTTTAGCCAATATGTCCTTGCTTGTTCACAGTCCCATCACATATGGATGTAACTTTCATCTTCTTCTTTTTCATGTTGCAACATTTCATATAAATTCTACTATATATTGTATGATGTTTTGCGGAAGTTAAAATACTTTTTTGCTTCGCTTGCCCATAACATTAGTACAACAGCATTTCTCATTTAGATTTCCTGTGAAACTCCCTTATTGCATCCACGACAAAGGAGATGTTCACTTTTAATTCAAATGATGTCCCTGCCAGCCAATATATTTGCAAGTCCAGAAGCTCCTGGGCTCCTGTGTTCATTGTCCACAAAGACATGATCCCATTCAGTATTAACAGAAATGCACTCTGAAGAAACTTGGGGCACTCATGTCTCTGCTGTCACTTAACATGATTCAAAGTCCAGTACTGAAAACAGGTTACCATCAGTGAAGTCAGAAGCCCCATACTCTACATATGATCAGCAGTCCTAGTGCCACTGTGCTAAGTGAAAAATCTGCTAATATTAGAACAACGAACAGGAGATAACAAAATTAGGGTGCGTGGCAAGAATACCAGGAATCTCTCTCTCAGCAAGATGTACAATTTGAAGTGTAAAAAACCCCACGCCTAATAGCTGGCCTAAAGCAGCTGAGAACAAAACAGAAAGAAGTGTAGAGACACAAAAGGAATCCATAGAAAATACAAACATTTAATGTGTTGTAAAATGAAGATTTGTTATAACCTTAAGTCACTGATCTCTGTACTATTGTCATCATTGTGGTTTGGATCCAGAAGTCCCATGTGTGGAACTCTGCTCATGGGATGCTCCCACTGGAGAAAGGGTGGGAGGCAATTTCTGCAGGTTTTTAATGTCCCCTTGAAGCCCTGAGTGCCCTCTGAAAAGGCAGGGGCCCTTTGGGATAGCATGGGAAGTGGTGCTGGGAGCAGCAGGGGGAAATTGACAAAAAAAAATAATAATAAAATCCCCCTCCCTTCTCCAGCAGGAGTCTCAGTTCCTTCCATCCACAAAAGAAGGCTATCTGTCCATGGAAAGACAACTCTGAATCCGGATCCAAGCCAATGTAGATTTGAAAAGAAGTTAGAAACAGCAAACCAAAATGGAAAGGATGAAGGAAAGTAAAATGCCTCATTGAACAATGTATCTTCAGAATGATTGACAGCCTGATCCTAAAGATGCTTACTTAGAAGTAAATTCCACTAACTTCAATGACAGTAATTTCTGACTAAATTTGCATAGAATTGGTCTGTGAGGAGCTTATGAATATATGTTGATCATTTTTTTTATTCATGAATCAATTTCCAACTACGAGATGCAAAATATAAAGCATTATTTTTGAAAAAGTAGAGGCATATGTGAAAAATGCAGCTTCTGCCAAAACAAATCTTACTGATGTTGGCCCATAATGCTTTCAATAGCTTATAGGGTGTGGCGTGTGTATAAACATAAAATGCCCCTCAGCATCATCTGAGTCAATAAGATTAAGAAGAAGCAGAGCTGACAACAACAGAAAAGGGGTGCCAGATTGTTTTGTTTTATTTCCCCCCTCCTCCTGGAACATCTGCCCTGTCGAGGAATTGTACTGCTTTAAGTGCATTGATAATTTTTTTTTAGCAGCTCCAGAATGCAAGCAAAAGGAAGTGAGGCTGACCTTTGAATTCCTCGGCACCTGAGTCAGTTCTGGGCATGACCTCGGGATAAAAGGAGGTGCTGCTATGGGCACTGGGCTGCTCAACAGCATGGGGTTACACCAAAGTCAGTCATCTTTTGTGGGAGGAGTGAGGAACAGGAAGCATTCTCTTTGTTGTATTAGTAGTAGACCCCTCTCTGGGTGAGCTCCAGAGAAGGAGCTGTGTTGGGTGGAGCTGCCCTGTGCAAAAGGTAGGTTGGTTTCATATACATACTCTAAGGTCAAGTACAAACCATACATTTCAGACATGTGATTTCTTTCAGAGAATCCTGGAAATTACAGCTGTGTGTGTAATAATAATAATAATAATAATAATAATAATAATAATAATAATAATTTATTATTTATTATTTATACCCCGCCCATCTGGCTGGGCTTCCCCAGCCACTCTGGGCGGCTTCCAACAAAATATTAAAATACAATAGTCTATCAAACATTAAAAGCTTCCCGAAACAGGGCTGCCTTCAGATGTCTTCTAAAAGCCTGGTAGTTGTTGTTCTCTTTGACATCTGGTGGGAGGGTGTTCCACAGGGAAGGCGCCACTACCGAGAAGGTAATTTACAGTTCCCAGGGTCCTTTAGGGGAAATGATGTGCTTTAAATATGATTTAAGTGCATGGTATGTAGACAGCCTTAGGGTGTGTGGATGTGAAATCAATGTGCCTTTCACACATGGAGCGCAGCTCCTTCCCTGGATCTCACCCAAGGAGGGTTCTATAACTAACACAACAAATAGAGTTGTATTAAATGTGCATTAAATATATGGGGTGTTAGGGGTACTACTCCAGTGGGGGACACATCATGCTCCTTCTGCGGTAGCTTGTCCATCTTTGGTCCCCATCCTGCACTCAGCTCTCACCCGTGGCTCCTAGAAGCTGTCAACATGCGACAGTGGCCACAACCCAAGAAACAATTTCGACTGGCTGGCTAAACCAGGTGAGGGTAGCCGATGGGTGTCAAGCCTTTGGTGAGTTAGGGACTTCTACTGTATGCAAAGACAGGCTCCAGCGGATTGAGCGGATGGGACCAATAGTGGATGGGTCCAACGGTGGAGAAGACAGCTTCTGCACATGCTGTAGAGGGAAGGGAAGTGAAGGACAGATGGGGCTCATCAACCTGGGAAGGTACCCCATTTAGCAGAAGGAAAACTCTGATCCTAAACATGCCCTGCCTTGTGGGATATTTTCAGGAGAAGAAAATGCTAAGAACACCCTACGCAAATCCTGAGTGGAGTCCCTAAGATGGAAGGATGGTGCCTTGTACGCCTCCTTCTGGCAACTCCTGCAGCCAAGCTGGTGCCAAACATAGTGCTCTGCTTTCCTTCGGACCACATCAGCAATGCCAACAAGAGGGTCTTGTCATCTGGGCAGCCCAGGTCATACAGACATACTATCCAGGCTCGCGACTCAGGGAGGTGACTTAGTAGCTGCTTTCACAGTGGTCTGACTTCACCCCCAGAGGCACACTCCATTGCCTCTTGAGACAGACGGTTGCCAACAACAACAGCACAGTCTAGGTTTCTTGGTTATTTGATTACTTTAATGGGAGCTTGGGGTGAGAGGCCAGACCGAAGGGGGTGGCTGAAGCCAACTACTGTTAACAAAAGAGTGGCTCCCTGCAAGGACTGATGAGAGGTGATTTTAGAGTATCTTAAAGTATATGATCAAACTGCAATGAATTGTGAGCTTTAACTGTTAGCTTCCATGCATTGGTATGCACTTCAAAATATATGATCTACAAATTGTTATGTACTACATAATATACGATGAAGCTGCTAAGAACTGCATGCGTTTAAGCTGTTAGCATCTATTAATTATCATGTACTTTATTTGTCAGTCATTGCACTATTTTGCAAAGTACTGCCAGGTAGGAGTAAAAAGCACTTTAATATATTTGTATGCTATTGCAAGTTTTTAAAAAGAAGTATAATGGAATTAAAGTATTCTGTTTATGCAGCTTGGGAAATGTGGTTATTTCAGTTCTCTAAAAAGCATTGAGATTTTGCACATAAAAAATTTGTGCCCTGGTCCTGTGTGCTTTAGTCTTACCAGTATCCTTGTTGGGAAAGGGTATTAAGTGATTATCTTTGTAGCCAATG